GTCAGAGAGCTGTTTGCCAGAGAGGCTGCTTCAGAGCGGATTTTTGCTTGCTGGGCAGCAGGGCTGGAGGTGAAACCTCGGCACCCCATGCTGGCGAGGTGCGTGCGGGCATGCCTGGGGACTATCGAGGGGACCTTAAGCAAACAGGCAGAAATACCTTGAGGAAGTATCTTCAGACATGAGGGGTGAGGAGATGTGGTCAAGAGATGGGGATGGTGAACAGGGGCATCCCGAGCCTGCCTGGTAGCATCTCGGGACACGCGCTGCACCCTGGGTGCCCGTCCCCCAGCTCGGGGCTGTACCCTTGCCTTTTCCCTGCAGTGGCTCGGGGCCGTGCAGAGTAGTGTGGGAGCCTTGCGTGACTTCCCCTCGCCACCTCTCGTCTTCACCCTTGCAACTGTACTTCATGGGCTGGGCGGGGAAATGCTTGTCCATGACTGTCGCTAAGCATTACCACCTTCTCTTTGTACAGTTGCTGGTGAGAAGAGGGTGCCAGTGATGCCCGGATCGCCCGTGGAAGTGAAGATACAGTCCAGGTCCTCTCCTCCCAACATGCCGCCACTGCCCCCCGTGAACCCCGGTGGCCCCCGGCCGGTGTCCTTCACCCCGACTGCACGTAAGACCCCAGTAACGCTGCTTTTCCCAGGGACCAGCTCTAGCCAGGAGAAAAGGCTCTGCTTGTAGAAGTCGACAGGGGTGTCTCAGCCCTTGGCCAGGGCTGCTTGCCAGCACGGCGGGCATTAGGCATGCTGCACCGCTGTAAGGGAGGGGGGACTGGGGCTTTCCTGCTGTTCTGCTACATATGCAGGACGTATAACGGTGTCTGTAATCCCCCCTACCCCCTGCCTGCTCCTACCTTGCTCCTGGTGCTGCTTCGAGTCCTTTCTTTTTGCAGGTGCAGCCTTGATTTCCACCATAAACTCCTTAAGAAATTTAAGTCTTTTATCAGGTTGGCTTCAAACAAGCCAAGAGCTGGGCTTTTCACTATATCTTTTAGAGGCATTAATTCCCACTCTGCTGTATCTCTCTTTGCAGACAGCGTTTCTGCAGCTGAGATTAGAAAGTTTTCCTTTTTTTTTAATTTCCTAGCCTTGGAAATTCCTTGCTGTCCATCCAGATTCTCTTTTCTCCATCTTCTCTTTTATAATCTTTCCTATTAAGCCATAATCAGTCCTGGTCCTGCCCAGCCATAGCACAGCCTCGCACCCACTGCTCCTAGCAGGGCATTGCTCAGAGGTGACTCCATGAATGGGATGGACGCGCAGCCTTTTCTTATAGCTGAGAAAGAGTCTTTTTATTTTCTCCCTTAGCCAACGTTTAAGCATGCCTTTTAAAGAGCATTATTCCAGAGTAAAGCTGCTTTACTGTTGGGCACGGAGTTATCTGACCCCCACGTGTGGCGCATCCATATTTTCCAGGTTCTCCTCACCTCTTTTCCTCCATGCTGAGCACCTCCCTAGCTGGTTCTGCGTTGCTTTGCTGTCCACGACGCTGTCTGGGATATCTCACAGTTTCACGCTGGCGGTGGATTTTGGAGATTGACGATCCAGCCTCTTTCAGGACACACACTAATGCATTGCCTGATGCTGGCAATAGCACTAATTGCTGGGTTATCCCTCCAGACACGTTGTCCCCATCTTTACGCGCTGAGGGGGTTTCTAAAGGCTCTCCTTTTGCTCAGGCAGAAAAAGACCATTAGCAAAGTGACAGAAATTAATTTTTCCAATGAGGTTGCTTGGCACACTGTTAAGGGCTAAGGAGACTGAGTCTGCTGATTGCAGATGACTTAATTGCCTCTTTCAAGATAGATGAGTGATGCAACCCGTGGTGAAGTTACCAGAGGGTCTTGGTCAGAGTCAGTGGGTGTGTGTCCTGCACTGTAAAAGCCCACAGCTTGGGGAGGCGAGGAGGAGCACGCTGAAGCAAGGCCATGCCTGCCTGCAGATCACTAACAAAAGGGTCGGAGAAGCAGCGAAAGACTATTGAGGACCTAAGGCAGAATTTAAGAGTAGCCCTAGATGATGACTCTTGTGTTCCCGGGAATTTAGCATCCTCTTCTCCCCACTGGTCTCGGTACGCCACCTCATTTGCTTCAGCGCTGTCTTCTCACCTGGAAATAGAGGTCCCAGCCCAGCTCTGTGGTCTGTGGCGGAGCAGATCCTGGCGATGCACAGGATCAGATAACTGCCAGCCGCCCTGCGGTAACGCCGGTTGCAGGAGGGTCAGGCAGGGTAAGCCTGAAAACACAGAGGGCGGTTACAGGGGCTGTGTCTTAACGGCAGCCCCGGCCTGACCCAGCTCGCTCTGCTTCCATGGCATCGCCCCAGCCCGTCAGCATCCGCCTCTCCCAGCCTTGGCAGCCTCTCCCTAGGGTCCCCTGCAGTCCCCTGGCCCCCGGGTGGGTCGCGCAGCCCATACTTCTCCCGAGGTATAAATAGAGCCTGTTGCTCTCCCTAGTCTTTCATTTGAAAGAAGAAGAGGAAGCGAAATAGGGAAGGGGGTAAAGCGCCTTGGTCGCAGGCAGCGGGGAGCACAGAGTTACATGGTCCTTGGCTATTTGAAAAGAGCTTCCCGAGGTGGCTCTCCCCCCTATTCACAACACTCTGATTGTGAAATAAATGCTTTTTATGAGTAATTGCCAGAAGCTTTGCCTTTCATGTAGCTCTGCATTTGCTAGTACTCCGTGGTAGCTAGTCCTGCAGGTACGTGCCACCTCTGCAGGACATCTCCGTTCCTTTTGCTGCTTGGGAGAAGCCGGTGTGGACAGGAGTTTTTCAGGTTGCATTGCTCCATAACAAAAGGCATGATCTTGCTTTGCCTTTGCACCTCCATCCTCTCAGTCCTGATCTTTACCTCCATTTCATCATCTCTCTGTCTACGAAAGGACACGTCTTTGTTATGCCCCCGAAGAGCCCGTCACCCCCTGGTTAGCAGGAACCACTTTTGATGGTCTCTTTAGCCTTATCTTTCCCTTGCATCTTAACTTAAAACTGCAACTGACTCTGGTTAATCTTCTTAGAGGAGGTTCCCTCCTGTGCTTACCACGAAGGTCCAGGTGCGTGGAGCCTATCCAGCCTGGCGTGCCCCAGGGCGGTTTAACTGTTCAAGTACCTTCTGCTGCCTTCTCCGAAAACCCCACACTCGGGTCATGAGGATTTGCTACAGTTCTTGTTAAGCTGCAGTGGAAATTATGGCTTTTTTTTTTTTTTTTTTTTTTTTTTTTTTGCAATTTGCTGCTCCATCACTACCTGCACCTTCTCCTGCCCCGCGTGCAAGGGGCAGCTCTGCTGGGTGGCTTCAGTGCTTCTCCTCTGAACACCGTCGTTTGAAATGGGTTTGGTAGCTTGTGGCCCTCTCTTCAGTGCTTGCATCCATAAGGGATGCAGGGCTGGGCTTTCAAGGATAACCCAGTGGATCAGCTAAAACTATATTTACAATGATGTACTTTTCACCTCTAAAATTCTGGGTTTATACTGAGTTGGGGCACCAGCGCACAGCTGCTCTTCAGGCAGGGCTCTAGATTGCACAACAGCAGTGCAGAGATGTCAACAATTTATTCTAATCCCTTGCCGAGTTCCCAAACTTCCAGCCTTCAGTCTGTTTCGACATGCTCATCGCTTACAGGAGGCAAAGTTGCAGATGGGACCAGGTTGGAAAAAACAACCGTGTTTGCGAAATTCCCTGTAAGCCCCCGGGGAGGTACAGCGGGCAGGCACAGCGGGGCAGGATGCTGTCAGCCCTCCTCGGGGCGAGGTGGAAGCACCTGAGCTGCACTGTCTGCTAGTGGGACCCTGGCTGTAATGAGCACTGGTGACTTACTGTAAACGATGGGCCTGGGAAGGGTTCATTGGATTGTCTGGTGTCGTTTTCTGCCTGACACAGGCCGGAAAACACTGATAGGTGTTGTTGCTGAGGGCTGTAAACTTTGTGCTAAAGCACGTTAGTTCCTCGAGCCAAGCATATGGCACAGCTCAGTCTGCCGCAGCAGCGGCTTTATGCCCATGTTCCCCCCTGGGCTGCCTCAAGTGCAAGTAGAGGTGTGCCTGCTCTGCTGAGCCCTCATTCTGTTGGTCTTTGATGGCCCTGGATATGAAGGTCACTGAGAGGAGGAGAGAAATGCTGGGAAAGTCACTGGCTGTGTTGTAAATCACATCTGAGCAACGCCAGAAAGAAAACTGCTGATGCCTTGGCGGGGCGCATGGTTCCCACGTGCTGGGGGCTGCAGAGCGTCCCCATGAGCTTGGGGGAAGGTTGAGGAGAAGGCGCGCATGTTGCTGGTGACGAGCTCCACTGCTGTGTGCCCTCCGGCACGGCGGGCGGGCTCTGCTCTGGCCATAGCCCCTTTTCTGGTTCTTGCCTGGTTTGCTAGCAGCGATTAACCAGCGGCAGCAGGCTCTTGGGTGGAAGATGGATCCTCTTAAACACCGGACCACTCTGATGTGCCCATCTGGTGCTAAGTATCGCTTCTGTCTCCTATTTGCAGTGCCCAACGGAATAAACCATTCCCCCCCGACGCTGAACGGGGCACCATCCCCACCCCAGAGGTTTAGCAATGGTCCTTCCTCCTCCTCCTCCTCCTCACTGACGAACCAGCAGCTCCCGGCCACGTGCGGTGCCCGGCAGCTCAGCAAGCTGAAGCGCTTCCTCACCACCCTGCAGCAGTTTGGCAACGACATTTCCCCAGAGATCGGGGAGAAGGTCCGGACCCTTGTCCTGGCGTTAGTGGTAAGCGCTGCATGCCGGCCCGGGGCACCTTGCTTTTGCCACACCACTTTGGCGATGGGATCCTGGCAGCCAGCATGTGCCCACGTTACACAATTTTATCTGTTTGCGTTTTTACAAGCAGAGCTGTTGACTGAGCCAGACTCTGTAATGTTTACACTTTCTGGGAAACTTGCTGACTTCTTTTTTTCTTGTCTTTGGTGGGTTTCAAAAAGCTGTTCATCCAGTGGCTTTGACATGAGCTTGTGGGCAGCTAAACTTAAAGAAAGGGTTTGGACCAAGCTTTTCTATAAAGGCCACAGGTCTGGTGCAGTGGGCTCGCTGGAAGCCGTGAGCTATGCTGGGCTTCCCCATTTCCTCTCAGAAATGAAACTTCTCACACAATTCAGAGGAGCCTGTAGTTCTGTACTAGGGAAGGGTTTCCTTGCCTGTGCAGATTTATGATTGCCTGACCCTGACCATGGATCAGTTTGCCTCTGATCTGCTTCCATACAAAGAAACGCCAGCTCCAGCCACCGCTTCGTTAGTGCTGTCCTGACTTCAGGGTGCTCAAACTCAGTGCTGCTTTGCTCGGCTGGGCAGCCAGGTGTAATGGAAAAAGCAGGGTCCTGACGCGGCCAGGGACTCGTTCAGGAAAGCTGGTAGTCCTTCTCCGCTCCGGAGCATGTAGAGAATATCATGACACTTCAAAGATTTCATTTATCGATACACAGTGATGTATTTAATGGGCTTTTTTCCTCTATATGGGCTGCTCCTGCATATCTTAAAACAAGCCTGCTGGCACAGCAAAGTTAACTATTGCCAAGGTCTGCGGAGGATGGGAAGGCTGCCATTGCAAAATAGGAGGCCTGGGCTTCTGGTGTGGTGCTGCTGCTGCTTTGTGTGATGTTTGCATTGATACTTCCAGTCATATTCATGTCTGTGACAGTCTGAATGTGCAGCTGCAGGAGAGGGCTTGGTAAATAACTTTCATGCAACTTTTTGCCCTTCTTCTGCATTCCCACGCTCGGATTTGCAAGAGCTGCGGTTGGTGGCAGTGCATGCATGTGCAAATGGTACGTGTCTGCCCTGGTGCCCTTTAGCAGCTATGGACAGCTGAAAACACCCTTGAAAAACCAAACAGGCAGGTCTTGCTGCGGAATTGCATCTAATATTTGCACGTATACAAACTAACTGGTAGAAATGCTGTGCAAGCCCAGTCCTTGGACTGAGACCCTGGAGCACAGCACCACACCACCTGCGGTCCTGTGTGGCAGCCAGCGCTGCTCCCAAGCTGATCTCTGCTTTTTGGCACAATTCTTTTGAGGCTCAGCATGCAGCAAAGGTAGCGAGACTGCCGCAGCCTAGAGTATTTCTGCTTCCAAGGTTGGCGTGGGCAGAGTGAACGTGAGTCTGTCCATGGTCTCGAGGGCTTTTGCAGTGCTTGAGCACTGGATGCAAAATGCTGCTGAAGAAGGCAGGCATACGTATTTCCAAGGAAATTATGAGTTGTCCAGGTTCCTCTGACTGTCATCCTCACTGCTGCAGGGATGAACTTTGTATGTGCAGGTTATCAAATGCTGCTCTTCCAACAGCCACAGGGGAGGCAAGGCTGAGCAGGGAGGACAGTGCCAGTGGGGTGAGCAGCAGGCTGATGGAAACTTGTGGATGGTGGATAGGTTAGATGAGGTGTGCTGAAAGGGAGACTGAGGGGAGATCTTATCCCTCTACAACTACCCGACAGGAGGTTGCAGTGAGGTGGGTGTTTGTGTTGGTCTCTTCTCCCAGGGAACAGGCGATGGGATGAGGGGAAATGGCCTCAAGTTGTGCCAGGGCAGGTTTAGGTTGGACATTGGGAAAAATTTCTTCCCCGCAAGGGCTGTCAGGCACTGGCAGGGGCTGCCCAGGGCAGGGGTCGAGTCCCCACCCCTGGGGGTATTTAAAAGCTGGGCAGACGAGGTGCTTAGGGCCAGGGTTTAGTGGTGGGATGGCAGGGTTAGGGTAACGGTCGGACTTGATGATCTTAAAGGGCTTTTCCAACTTAGATGATTCTGTGATTCTAAGGAGGAGAGGAAGGTGTGCAGCTCTGAGCAGCTGGAATCGCTGTCTGGATCCCCGCAGCCCCAGGCCACCCAGCCAGGGTGCAGGAGGTGCCAGCTGGGCCCTGCTGCCTCCCAGAGCCCATCTCTGCCTCCCGGCCCCAGAGCCGGGGGGATGCTGGGCCAGGCAGCACCCAGCCGTGCACAGCATTCGCCCCCCGCCTAGTGCAGCATTTCTGCTGCATTGGCCTGGGTCTTTTTGGCTGTGTTAGGCAGGATCCAATACAAACATTGTCAGTCCTGTGACGGCAGATGCAGTCTCCCTTCCAGTTCTGTTCATTTGGAGCTGTTTCCCACATGTCTAAAAATAAGAACAAATTGTCATTTCAATTCTTAATTTCTTTTCTCAGAACTCAACGGTGACAATTGAGGAGTTTCACTGCAAGCTGCAAGAGGCGACAAACTTCCCCCTCCGGCCGTTTGTGATCCCCTTCCTGAAGGTGACAGGGAGCTGGTGGGGCCTGCCGACGCTGCGTGTGCCGGTCTGTGCCGCTTGGCAGCGTGACATTGCTGGGAAAGCTCTCGTTTCGAGCACCACAGCAATTCTGTTAAAGTCCAAGACAGACTGCACAGACCGTAGCAGTGGCCATGTGGGACTGGCTAACGTTTTTCCAAGTGCCACATATGGCTGCTTGTATGTTAGGGATAAAGGAGACAAACCAAGCTCCATTCAGCAGCTTCTGATCCTATAATCTTATTTGTGAATGTTCAGATCTAGAGTATTTGAGGTGTTGGCATACGGAGCATGTCCGGGGTGGTTAGATGCTGGAGGCACAGACTGCTTCCCCTGACACTTGTTTTTTGGGTGCACTGATGTCAGGCCATCCTCAGCTCTTGAGGAAATACAGGTAAATCTGACAGTGCAGACACCGGGAGCCGGAGGATCCTGAGAGGGGGCCGCAGGCTGTGGGTGTTTCTGCTCTGAGGTATTCCGTCTGCAGAGCAAACCTGCTGGGAGCGGCCGGGAGCTGCTGCCCGCAGCTGCGTAACGCAGCCCCACGCTTGCTTCCCAGGCCAACCTGCCGCTGCTGCAGAGAGAGCTGCTGCACTGCGCCCGGGCTGCCAAGCAGACGCCCTCCCAGTACCTGGCGCCGCACGAGCACATCCACACCCAACCACAACGTCCCCCGCTGACTCCTCCGAGCTGCTGATTGAGGTGAACGGGAATGGGAAGAGGCACAGTCCAGACAGGTAAAACCAGCTTTTGTCGCTCTGCCGGGGTCTTGAAGTTGTGACTCTTGTTTCAACTTTGCTGCTGTCAAAGCTGCATCCGGGGCTAAACTGAAGGATCTTATCACTCCCAACAACTATTCTGGCTGTTAATAAGACACCGATGGTTGCTCCTCCTGTGCTGTGAATTCAGGTTGGGATCCCCTTTCAGGCGGGTTCTGTCCCAGCAGGACTTGCTGGGTAGCACTGAAAATCCTGGGCTGGAGAGCTGGGCAGTTCCCCACCTCCCCAGGTGGTGAGCGGAGGCACTGGCGGGGCTGGGAAGGATGCGGTTCGTTTTCACCACTTTTTTTATTCCAAGTTAAAAGTTGTTACATAATTATGTGGAGCATGCCTCAAATTCATAAAAACCGTGAAATTTTAATTTGGTCGTGATCAGAAAGGTGAATCCCAACACTCGGGCCTCTTGAACTTTTTCTTCGATGGGGTCATTTTGTGGATTTGTTCACAAGTTGAGCATGTTTGGTTTAGCTCCCTGCCTTTACCCTGCAGTAAAATCATCACTGCCCAAACTCCGCTGATTCAAAATCTGCATCTTTCCCTTTCCGAGGACGTTTATGCAGTGCTAACGAACGCCTCTCTTCTGCTGGTGTGGTTGCAGAAGGGAAGACAGCAGCTTTGAGAGGGAGCCGCTGCCGACGGAGCCTCCGGCCAAGAGGGTGTGCACCATCAGCCCCGCGCCCCGGCACAGCCCTGCCCTGACAATCCCGCTGATGAACCCTGGGGGGCAGTTCCACCCCACCCCGCCACCCCTCCAGCACTACACCTTGGAAGATATCGCAACCTCCCACCTCTACAGAGACCCCAGCAAGATGTTGGAGCACAGAGAGATTCGGGACAGGCATGGCAGTCTTGGTGAGAAAGCCTGGAGGGCTCCTAGTCATAGGAGCTGTGAAGTCCAGCAGCTGAGCTTCGGCATTGGTCCCTGCTGGCACCCAAAGCTGCGTAATGCTGGGCATGTCCTCAGCAGCAGAGTTTTTGCAGGGAATTCAGAGAAAACAACTGACCTTGGGAGGTTAAAAATGGGAAGATTGAGAGTTTGCATTTCCCTATATACATGTAAAGGCTGGAGCCAACAAGGATGAGGAGGAAGGGCCTGGGGTGTGAGCTGAGTATTGCCAACCTAGCAGGTGAGAATGGAGAGCAGGGAAATGGAAATTAACTTTTCCAAGATCGCTGGAGCAGGAAAGCAGAGCCTGACCCCCCGTCCCGTGTCTCCCCGGGGTGCGTGGGAGGTGCGTGCTGGGTTCCACCAGGGCAGCTGGAATCACAAGCTCTGAGCTCCCCTGGGTTTATAATAAGGCAGCCAGCTCCCCAAGCAGGTCAGATCCAGACCTGTCAGTGGGTCATAGCACTTCTGAGACAGCAACACAGGCGAGGGTAAAAGCACCAGCACAGGAAGTGCCCCTGTAGAGCCACCTCCTTGAGATGTGTTTTAAAACCCTAGTTACACATAGCTGCAAATACATCTCTTTATTATTCCCTTGGGGGCACCTTCCCTCTCCAGCACTGAAAGCGCTCGATCCCTCTAACCTCTCCTCTGGCTGTGGTTTGTTGCAGGTTTGAATGGAGGATACCAGGATGAGCTGGTGGACCACCGCTTAACGGAGAGAGAGTGGGCTGATGAGTGGAAGCATCTCGATCACGTAAGGAGTGACAGGAGGTGTGGGAAGCTATGTGGGACACAGCAACCCAGTGCTCTGCCTGCTCCAGTTCGTTATTTTCTTGTTGTTGATACCATATCTGAGCTTTCCTAGTGGCTTGTAGAGGAGGAAGCCACCACAAGAACGTGGCTGGTGGGGAAGGCAGATAGGAGCAGTAGCACTTTCCTGGCAGGTTTTCTCTGCCCATGGTCAGTGGAAGCCAAAATTACTCTGGATGAAGTGTCTGGAGCTGGGGAGCTTCTCCTGCGGAGCACGGCCATGTGTTACCCTGGCTGGCTGAGCAACCAAAGCCAACCTGTCCCCACACGGGTCTTTTCTGCAGTAGTCCAGGCCATCACTGTGCCAACAAGTGTGCACGTGTGCTATGTGCAGCAAGGATGCGGAGTTTATAGAATAAGTAAACCCATCATCATTTTTTGAAGACTTCTTTTTTCCTGGGCTGCCAGCATTTTCTGGGCCTCGGCTAGGTGCCAACAGCAAGACGTGGTACTTGGGGCAGACTTTCTGCAGTCTCTTATTCCCTCTGAGCAAGGCTGCTCATCCAAGCGCTTCACTGGAGTGTTTCCCCCAAAGAGATGGGATTGAAATTCAATTTTGGTCACAGAGGCAGAAGAGAGACCCCATGCTTGCTTATGCTCTAAAGCTGGTGTTTGGGGAGAGGGGGAGGTGTGGAGTAGAGGCCCTGTAGCTGAATATTTGTGAGCTGGGATGTGGCTATGGAGAGCTGGCACCAGGATCACAGCCAGCCCTTGCATGGACACCCTATTCCTATAGGAAAATGGGGTTTTTTTCATCTCCACCTTTAGAGGTATGGCCCTAAACCTCCTTTGGTGGCCATGGTGCAGGTGTGATCACCTCCTTCCCAGCTGGCGCTGCTCAGCATCGCTGCTGCACATGTGGGTACAACACTCAGTCTCACCCGCCTGTCTGAATACTGCATCATCCGAAATGCTGTGCTCGGAGCCTGTTCCCGTGACATGACCTCGTGCTTCATCTTCCTGGGATGTTCCCTGTGGTAACTCCAATGAGAAATTTGGGACATGACCTCATGAGCGCGTTCCTCCCTGTAGGCACTGAACTGCATCATGGAGATGGTGGAGAAAACCCGGCGCTCGATGGCCGTGCTGCGGCGCTGTCAGGAGGCCGATCGGGAAGAGCTCAACTACTGGAAGAGGCGGTCCAGCGAGCCGGCGGAGCCGCGGAAGGCGGGCAGCGAGCTCATCTCCAGGCAGCACAGCCCCAGCAGCTCCGACTCCATCGGCAGCGGTAAGCAGGGGGCGGGCGCGCTGTGCCAGGACCCTTATAAGCAGGCGTCTAATTGCGACCAAGCTGTATTAGGCACAAAGGGATGATAATATATTCAAATTATAATATAAATTGAGTACTTAAGCAGTGTTAAGCAGAGCCCCAATTGTTCTCAAGGCTTTGAAGAGAGAGAAGTCATTGGACACGTGGAAGCTCCCAGGTGAGCTCCTGGCAGCAGCATTTGCAGGTGTGCGAAGGCACCTTTGGGCGGCAGCAGCACCTTCTGCTGGTGCTGGGAGAGGAGCATCTTTCTTGTCCTGATCCAGCTGTGCCAAGTTCATTCAAAGATGAGAAACCAGAGGGTGAAGAGGCAGGAGAGGTGGTTGGTGCCACCCCTCTTCCCCTCCTGGTCTCTCTTGCCAAAAGGATTTTAAATGCCAAGGTCTACTAATCCTAAAAATACCGAAGACTGCTGTAAGTGTACGAGCTTCCACCTGAGTTATTCATTCTATTTTTGTATCATGAGTCAACTTTGCTTTACTAAAGCAGACTGGTTTTCCCCTCCAGTAATGCAGGGGATTTGACCCTGTACAAGAAACCAGTCTAAAATGCTGATTTTATGCATTTGGATGCAATTCTAATTCCCATCCAAACAAGTATGCTGCAAATCAAATGCTGAAAAAAAAAAAAAACCAAACCAAAACCCTGATCATTCGATAATAAAAAATCAATGTTTTCTAACAACAATAAATGTCAAACTAAAAATCTAAACTCTATTTCAACTTGCTTGTATACAAAATAGAATGCATCCTCCCGCATGTCAAAAAGAACCACCCAAATCAGAGCCCAGACCAGATTTAGCTGCAATTGAACAAGTTTTGATAGTTCCCAGACAGCAAGAATGAATATTTCCTGGGAAAACAATAACAAGTATACAAGCGGAGGGAACCAAAATAGAATATATTAGGCTGAGTTTCTCGGAAACTGAGCGCCTGTGGCTCCAGCCATAACTGCCGAGCAGTGTGCAGTGAGCACAGCCAGCTTGTAGCCCCTCTATCTTTAAGTATATCATGACTAATATACTTACAGCCCCTTGTTAAAGATGATACAATTTAATTTTTATTTTTTTTTTACATAAATTGGGAACGTTGTTGATGCTTTAGTCCCCCCGTGGGACCTAGCGCTCATTTTCAAGCTCCACTGCTGTTGTGGGAAGGTGCAGTGAAACATCAAGGAGCATCCCCGGGTGTGCTGCAGGCTGAAATACCCTCACGCCTTCCTGGAGTGCCTTGGTTCTCCCACCAGCCTTTGACATGGATCAGTTTTTGTTCTGACCCAAAAAAGGGTTGCAGTTAGGACACAAGCCAGGGCTTCTGAAAGGCTTCCCCGTGTGGCTGCGGTCCGCTTTTCAGCCCCATCTGTCACACAGGCTCTTTGCAGGCTCGGGGGCGCTGGGCAGCGTATGCGCCTCGTGCCGTGAAGGGTCTTGCGGGAGTTTGTCCGCCAATTCAAGCCTTGGGATTGCCGCTGGGAGCGGAAAGCGCGGGGTTTAATGCAAGCTGCTGGTCGTTTAGGTTGGTGCTCAAAGGTGCCGGGCAACGCAGATGTTTGATGCCATATATTGGTAAGCACTGCCCGTTGTTCTAGAGCACCGGGAGATGGAGATGGGTTATATAGTGTCATAAATTATGCAGGGCATTAATTAAGTGTTGTAATTTATCATCTGAGCGTTTGATGAATGGCTTTAACTGTAGGAATCTGCTGCTTTGAGTTTTAGCTGGTGAATTCGACCCTGCCCCTCGATGTACCGAGGTACTGCTGGGCACTTAAGCGGCAGTTGGGTGAGACGAGGCTTTGCCAACCGTTCCCCGTGTCCCTTATTCCAACAGATTCATTGCGGGAGTTCAGCAGCAGGTCAGGAACAGGCTACGTCACTGAAGAGATATGGAAAAAAGCTGGTAAGTGTTTGCTAGTAACCTTGGTGAGGAATTCTGCCGGATCAGTTGAGATAAACACAGATGCTGCAGATTTGCTCTGCAGAAGGAGGAGAAGCCCAGCTGCAGGAACGCCCCAGGATGTGCACATCTGGCTACCAACACCCCCAGCTTGGGTTTTCCAAAGGGCTCCGCTCCTTCTGCACAATGCCAGTGGGGATCCTGTGGGGCTGAGCCTGGCCTCGCCGTGCCCAGGAGCGGTCGTGATGCTGGTGCTGACCATGACCTGCAGGCGTCCCAGCCGCGGGGAACATGCCGCTGCATCCCGATGTCGCTCGGCTCACCCTGCTCCTCGGGCGGGTGGGTGAAGCTGCTCTTTCCTTCCAGAAGAAGCTGTGAATGAGGTGAAGCGCCAGGCCATGTCGGAGGTGCAGAAAGCGGTGGCAGAGGCCGAGCAGAAGGCGTTTGAGATGATTGCCTCCGAGAGGGCTCGAATGGAGCAGACCATTGCGGATGCCAAGCGCCAGGCCACCGAGGATGCGTTCTTAGTGATAAATGAACAGGAGGAGTCCACGGAGGTAAGGTGCCAGGGGACATCCTTGGAAGGGACTTTCAAAGACTCACAAAGTCTCCAGCCCTGCCTGGCAGGGACTTGGAGCCTGTAGGTCCTCCATCCCTTTGCCTTTTAGAAGTCTCTCTCCAATCAATAGCTAAAGGGATGCACCAGTATCATAAAACAAACCCTTTTGCTTTTGATTTTGCTATCAGGGGAATTTGCCTAAACAGTGTCTGTGGCACCCGTGTGTGCGCAGCAGCCACGTGAAGGCACCGCTGGGCACCGTGAGCTGGACCCAGCGTAATGACCGGGGATTCACTGGGATTTAGGGAGGTGTGGAAGCACAGGCAAAGGGATGCTGGTGGATGCAGCTCTCCATTTAGCTCAGAAATCCGCCGTTGTGGGGTACTTGATCCGTGCAGAAAAGGAACTCCCACTTGTGGGCTTTAAAACGGCGCAGGGTAGAAACAAGGCTGCAGGAGAAACTTCATGACCCGATGGTCTGTACTGCACCCCCTATATTGTCTTGGATGTTGTTGTCTCACCGGCTCCAGAAACACGGGCCCAGGCAGTGTCCGGTCACCTCGTCTCCAGAAACAGGCTCCTCGCGTCCCTTGCTATGCTGCTCCTGTACACACGGGGATAGGTGGGGAGCGACTGTGCAGGGCGGCTGCCCCTGCCTTATGGAAAGCCTCCTAACACCTAAGGAGATGTTTGGAAAAGCAGGGATGACTCTTAGTTTGTCATAGCCAGCGACACCTGCCCAACACAGGTGTCTCAGAATTTCTTTCTACTCCTCGATCTTTAATTACCTTCGCTGTCACTTCACTGGAAGCTCACTTTGTTAAGCTTTGGGGATCTCGGCTGGACTGGGCAGGGGGAATTGCATGGCAGATTCCATCCCATCCACCTGTGGTTTGCTGCTTGTTTTAATTTCTCTGCGCGAATGCAAGAGCAGAGGCTTTGTTTCTGTCGAGCAAAAATCTGATGGGAAGGTGGAGTTAAGGTCCGCTGGGACTGTGCGGGCAGCGAGGCCGTTTCTCTCCTCCTGTGGGGTTTCTGTCCACCCTGCTGACCAGGACAGGTCTGGTGCTGGGGTCCCTGTGCCCAGCAGGAACCATGTAAATATTGGGTGGTATCACAGAGAAGTATGTCTGTACCATTGCCTGATTAAATCACTGAATGCAGCAGTCAGTAAGCACATGATGGGAGTGGGTGGAACTGCTCAGGAAGCCATGGAAGAAATGAGACAAGCAATGATGTCTCCACAGGGGAATACTGGAGGAGCATCCTCCTCCTCCGGCCATCCTGGGAAGCAGTGTGGGATCTTGGGAGCGGCTGAGTGGCCCCCTGCCAGCGCCAGCCCCGTCTCCCCAGCACCCAGAGCTCATCTCCAAAGGCCACGCTGAAAAGCTGTCGTGTATTCTGGCACACCCCATAACCTTTGAAATGCAGTCTAAAACCACCACGTGAAGCATAAACAGCTGTAAAGCCGTGACCCAGTTTTCCAAGAGTTACCGCAGGCTTTGGAGAGGTGTTTTTTTTGGTTTGTTTTTTTTTTTTTGGTCATGAGTCCTGCTCCTGTCAGGAGACCGAGGAGCCTTGGGGATGTGCTGGCTCTGGAGCTGCTCGCCCCCAGTCAGCCAGGACTGCAGCTTCGCTGCTAGCCCGTAAATCCTTGCTGCGAGCTGGTGGCTCTGGTGCAGATGCTGGGAGCAGGGAATCTCGCTGCCCTTCCCCACAGCAGGGCTGTCCGATGCAGGTCAGCACGCCCCGCTTTCCCGCTTCGACAGCTTTTTGCTTGTGGTCGCAGGGGCGGTGGCCAGCGCAAGGTGCCTTGTTAGGCCAGCTTAGAGGCTGGCAGGCTCTGGTGGAGGCTGCTTTTCCGCAGCTGAACTTGCCGTCCCTGGCATGCAATTGCTAACGCCCGAGTCCAGCTGCAGGAAAGCTCATCCGCCTGCTCCCCGCCTCGGAGCAGCTGCGGCCGCAGCTCCCGGCGCTGGCCCCTTGCCCCCGTGCTCGTGAGGAAGCGGTGGCACGCCGTAAGCCCACCAGCTGACACCTCCCTGCGGCCAGCGGGGCTTTGCTCCGCTTCCAGATTGAAGCTCGGGCTCTGGCAGTGCTTCCACCTGGCTGGGAGGCTTTCAAATGAGCTTTTTCTTTTCCAAATTAGCCTGCTCCGACCTCTTGTGCAGCAAGGCAGGGTGCAAAGCAAATGGTGCCTGTGCAGCATGCTGTAATCCCTGCAGAGAGCACTTGGCTGGGAGAGAGACCGAAATAGAGCTGCTGAAAACAGGAAATAAAAAGACCGAATAGCAGCATCTGCAGCGTGTTTTTCAGTCCTTGCCTGCTGTTTCCTCTATGCATTTGGGTGGATCTAGGGGAGAGGATGTGACCGGTGCAGTTGGGCGGGCGGTTTTGGGCAGAGCAGGGGAGTAGGGGTTAGTCCCCTTGGCAAAGGGCTGTGAAATAGCAGGAATTAATGGATTGCTTGTTTTAATATTGCTAAATCCAGGCCAGAGGGGGATGAGCAGTCCCCCCCAGAGCTGTCGAGTCAGCACCGACCTCCAGCTCTTGGGAACTAAACCCGTTTTGAAGTGTGGCCTCTCTGGTCTTGCAGAGTTGCTGGAACTGTGGTCGCAAAGCCAGTGAGACGTGCAGCGGCTGCAACATCGCCCGGTACTGCGGCTCCTTCTGCCAGCACAAGGACTGGGAGAGGCACCACCGAATCTGCGGCCAAGGCCTGCACGGCCAGAGCAAGCCGCTGGCTCTGCCCACGGGCCGATCGGCAGCCGCTGCCAAAAGCCTCGACGGCGTGCCCAGCCCGGCCCTTGAGAAGACTTCGGCGACCACCTCCCGGTCCTCCACCCCGGCATCCGTGACAGCAATAGATACGAACGGACTCTAAAGGGGAAGTTTTGGTTCGGTCCATTTGATTAGTTTCCCTGGGTTTTTCTAAGCTGAAAAAAAACCCCCACGGCAACTTGTATCACTTGACACATCTGACACATCCCACCGCCTCCGCAGAGCGCCAGCGCTCGGGCTTTGCCATCTTATTCTGCCTTTTTTCTTGTGAAGAACCGGGGCTGGCCTTGCCTGCAGCGCCCCCCTCCCCATCTCCCTGCGGGAGGCATCATTTGGGACCTGGAGGAGGCTGGGTGCTCGCTCGGGGGAGATCGGACTCGGTGGAGAGCGCCGCTGACACGTGCGGGAGATGCTGAGCCCTGTCCTCCCGGGTCAGACATGCTCCAGCTTCTTTCCTGAGGTGTCTGAGCTGCCGCCTCCTCCAGCTGCCTTTCTTCCACAGTAGGCATCTACTTTTTTTTTTTTTTTTTTTCCTTGCCCCCAGGCAGTGGTGTCTCAGATGGCCGTGCTGGCCAGTCACTGTGCAAAGAGACTGGAGCCAATTTCCCAGCAGGAGCATCTCGTCCTCTAGTGCAATGGCAAAAGCCAAGCCCTCTTCTCTTCTCCTGCCTGCAGGTTGGCAGCTGGTGACAGCAGAGAGGGAGGAGAGGCTTTGTCGGCTCTAAACCAAATGTCGGTGCCAGGGAAGTTCGGACGGTCGCTTCTGGGTGGCCTGGTTTTGACCCCGTTCTGTGGCAGGACAGGCAGTTGCCTGTTACCCGGGGTGGGACCTTTGCAAATCTGGCTTGGTCGTGGGCGGTTATTGCCCTTTCCACCTGGGTACCGTTATTTTGCTATGCAGAAAGTGGTTTGTTTCTTTTTTTTCAGTGCATGGAAGTTGTTGGTTTGAGAGTTACTGCCGTTGTTTTTAACCACAGAGATCCTCACGCGATTGCCATGGGTTATTTATAGTCTGCTCTCTCCACGCGCGTTGGCCAAACTGTTAAAATAAACGCGGGACTTGGTGTCCTGCATCGGTTTGTACCCCCCGGCCCCATGGGGCTCCTGCGGTGCTGCTCCAGCGCTGGCTGCGCTCCTCTCCCCAGCGATGCCCAGGGATGCGCAGCCACCGCCATCTTCACCGGCTGGCGCAGATCGTCCCAAAACCGCCGGCTGGGAGCGTGATGTCCTGCGGGGTGGCTGGGGCAGCAGGGCGAGAGCCACCGCTCCGTGAGCCCCCGCTGTGGTGTGGAAGGAGGGAGCCAGGGCAGCACAAACCCTGTAACCGACCCTGGCCCCGGGAGGGCTATGCTGGGCGCAGCGGGGCCCTCTCGGATGCTTCACGGAGGTCGTCGGAGGCGCAGCCCGCGGGAGGGATGGGCAGGGGCCCTCTGGGGAGCTGCACCGAGTTCCCACGCTGTGCGCAGATGGGCTCTAGAAAACCATCTATTCAGCGAGGCCATGTTTCCGTGACTGTTTTTGTACGATTGCTGGGCTGGAGCCCAATGAGGCGAGTAATTCCCAAATTATTTTTGATCACTTTTTCAATTGAAGGCGAGTAATAGAGATGTAATGAATCGTCATGGAGCTTGCTGTGGTGTGGCTGGCTGCTGGCTGCCCGGGGATAAACCAGCGGCCCACTGAACTGTCCGCGTCCCTGGGGAAAAGCTGTTTTGGAAGCCACTGTCGTGGGATAGAGTGGGCAATCCCTGTGTCTGCAAGGTTTTATTACACAAAGAAAAGCCACAAGGGCGCCCGGTGTTCAGGGCAGCTCTCGAGTGGCAGCTGGGGCTGTCTCCTGTGTCCCCGGGGAGACGCCAACAGGGTCCTGGCTGCAGCAGAG